CGAACCAGCTACGTGACGTACCGGCCCGATCTGCTGAAAGAGGCGGAGCCGCGGGAAAACCCTCGGGTTCGGACACCGAGCAACCAGCGCCTGAAACCAAGGCTGGGCCGGCCACCAAGGGGCCAGAAGGACAACTCTCCCCCGGTAAGTCTCTAAGCGAGTCAGGACCTGGAGCAACAGCCGAACCGGGGGAAAGAGGTACAGGAACCCCCACCTCGACCAGTCGAGCCGAAAGGCATCGACCCCGACGGCCTCGCAATCGGGGAAGGGCGCCGTATAAACGGGAAGACGCCGCGACCACGCCGACGCGAAGAGGTCCACCTCGGGGCGCCCGAACGTCTGGCAAAGCCAACGGAAGGACTCGTCGTCGACCGTCCACTCCGTGGAGAGGGGAACGAAGCGAGACAGGGCGTCGGCCAAGACGTTGGACACGCCCCGTACGTGAACCGCCAGGAGAGCCAAACCCCGAGAACTCAGCAGACGAGTCACCCGAAGCGACCAACCCCAAAGAGACAAGGACCGCATCGAACCCCCGCGGTTCAGGCAATGAACCACCGGAGAGCAGTCCAAATGGAGCCGAATCGTCGATCCGCGGGCCACCCGAATCCTCCCCAGAGCAAACCACACTGCCGCGAACTCCCGCACCGTACTGTGAGCTCGACGGAAGGACGGATCCCAACGCCCCTAGCCGGCCTGGTGAGCACTGGTCACAAAACCCCAGCCGAGAGACGACGCATCCGTGTACACATCGAGCGAGGGCTCGGGTAGGCGCCAAGGCACTGAACCCCGAAAACCCGAAGAGGAAGCCGGTGACGCAGCAACCAACGCAAGTCCCCCGGGGGTCGAACTCTGCGATCGCGAGAGAGGCGGAAGGAGGAACCCCGAAGGAACCAGAACAGCCGTCGAAGCCAAACCCGACCCGGCAGGTAGACCACCATCGCGAAGTTCAGGCTCCCGCACAGCCCCTCGAGCAACCGCCGGGTGACCCGAGGGCCCTCCAGAAACAGACGAAGGCGGGACCGCAGCCGCAGGAGAGACTCCGGAGGGAGAGACAAGGAGGCGGTTCGAGAGTCCCACACGAGACCCAGCCAAGTCCGAACCTGAGAGGGAACCAGATGGGACTTCCTCCAGTTCACCAAGAACCCGAACCCGGCGAGCTGGGAAAGAACCAAATCCCTGGCTAGCAAGCAAGCTGACTGGCTGGGAGCCCAAACCAGCCAGTCGTCGAGGTAGGCCAACACCCGAACACCTAGGAGACGCAAACGAGCCACCACAACCCGTGTAAGGCGTGTGAACACGCGAGGTGCCAGGTCCAACCCGAACGGGAGACAACGAAAGCGGTAACTCAGACGCCCCACAACAAAACCGAGCCAGTCCCTGAACCGCGGATGAATCGGGACATGCCAATAAGCGTCCCGGAGGTCCAGGGACACCATCCAAGCTCCCGGCTCCAAGAGGAGCCGAACCTGAGACAGCGTAGTCATCCGAAAGGAGGGGCAATGAACCCAGGGGTTCAGACGGGACAAGTCCAGAATGAACCGCAGGTCCGCGCAGTCCCGTTTCGGAACCGGAAACAGACGGGAAACCCATCTGAGGGACGACGTCGTTTCGACGACGCCCAAGCGTACCCACTCCAAGACGACTCGACAGAGCGCAGGGGAAGAAGCCTGCCCTGCCAGCCCCGACCCCCCAACGCCACCGCAGGCCGCGAGACACGACCCGAAAGGCCCACGAATCGTGAGACCAGGCGCGGGCGAACAGCGCAAGCCGCCCCCCCATCGCCCCGCCAAAGGGGCAAACCGCGAAAGGGCCGGCGACCCTTACGAGACCCAGAACTCCGCACAGCGCGAACACCGCGCCGACCAGACGAGGGAGGGTCCGCAGGAGGAGCCAACCCCAAACCTGACACCAGAGGCCTACCACGACGAGAGGAACCCCGAGCCCTGGCACGACCTTTCCGGGAAGACCCACCCCGGGACCCCTGGAAAACCAACAAGTCCGACATCGGACGACAAGCCGCCGACGCAGCCTGAATAAACTGCGCCACAGCCGACTCCCCAAACAGGAGAGGACAAAAAGGTGAAGAACGCCTAAGAGCCAGAGCCCAAGCAGATTCCACGGAGGAACCCAGCACCGCCTGCCGACACGCGAGACGGGAAGCATAGAACAGGGAAACCGCATCCCGCAAAATCGGCGTGAACAGCTTCAACAAGGCAGCCGACGAACGCGCAGCCGAGGACAAGGTGCCGGACCCCGGGACTGACCCAAGCGTCCCCACATCCTCCACGAGCCAATCCGAAGACAGCTCCAGGAGGGAAAAGAACCGCAAGGCCGAACACAAAAGGCCCCGAGCGCGCAAGTCCTCCGCCACGAGCGCCGCCGAAAGGGAGGGAACCTGCACATGGAGCTGAATAACGCCCACATCGCGGGGAAGGGCAGGGGCAAACAAGCACTCATTCAGGTACTCAAGTTCACCCCCCAGGAAAACCTGAAGCACCGTGGAAGCTTCCCGCCACTCCAGCGTGCGGGAACAACAGAAAGAATGCCAGGAATCCAGACCAAACAAGGGGCAGTCTGCTAGCCAGGACGACTCCGGAACCTCGTAACGGAGCCAGAAAGGGAACGAAGTCCCAAACCTGAACGTGGACGGATCCATTTCCGAGGCATAATCCGGGTCACGCAGGAGGTAAGCTGCAAAGGCCGCTCGCACCACACCAGGTTGGATGCGATAAGCCGAAAACCTCCGGAAGGACGGAACTGACATACCCGGGGGAACACGGAACCGTACCCGGGGAGGGGCCAACACCAAATCCAACTCGTACGCAGAGGGGGGGAAAGAAAACCCCACTCCTTGTAACAATAAGCCCCGCTCAGTGGGAAGAAAAACCCAGGCGGGGTCCAGCGGGGCCCAAGGCCCCCAAGTCAGCCCCTCCCCAGCCTCGAGGTCCGTCACCACAGGACCCGAGGCCGAGTCCTCTCCCCAAGCCCCGACCCCACAAGACAAGGACGGAGCAGCCGGAAAAGCTGGAGGAAGGGGGGCCCACTGGTCAGACCCTGAAGCTTCGGCCGGGAGACAAGACTCGAATGCCTCTGCCACCCCCCCGGAAGGGGCAACCCCCGAAGCTGCCCGAGTCTCGAGATCAAGTAACCCCTGCTCCGACCCCGAAACCCTCAGACGCTTCGGGGCCGGAAGCAGGGGCAGGGGACCAGAACGAACAGAAGGGGAAGGACGAGGAGGTGCGGACTGAACCAGGATCGAAGCGACCCCCACCCCCAAGTCCGGGTCTCGAAAAGCAAAGCGGGGCAGCCCCGGGGCATCCGGGGAAGCAACCAACCGAGCGCGTTGCAACAGACGAAACCTAGACTGCAACGCACGTGCCGCCTGTACCCGAATAGAATCATCAGAGGATTGGGTAAATTGAGTCACAAGCAAGCAGCAACACTCACAGGACTCAGGGTCGAAAGTATCACCGACCCAACAGGCAGCGTGGCAGAGGCAAAAACAATGAGGGTCACCCTGAGACAAGGGGACCGAGCAACCCTCAAACTCGCACACAGCGAGTGGGGACTCCGGGGTCACATCCATCGGACCCACGCGCCCCCTAGGGGATTCCCAGGGTCCTGAGCGTTTACTTTAAGAGGACTCGCGCTCAGGTAGTCCCAGGCAGGGTGCTGCAAACCGGCGCCCAAAACTACCAAGCAAACTTCTAAAGCTGAACCCCAGGGACGTGTACACTCACGGGGACCTAGCAGGGGGCGCCACCGAGGAGAACAGTGGAAGGGCAAAAACAAACTGAATAAAATGACAGAACCCCCCACCAGGCAAAAACAAAAAGAAAAACAAAACCCCGCAAGAGGACAGCGAACCCCAAGGAACAGAGCCGGCCGCGATGTCGGGAATTACAAGCTGAGCAGCACCCTGCGCCCCTACCAGTGCAAACTGCCTCTTACCTGCCGGTAACAAGGGAGAACAGAACACCCAAGAGCCCAACAGGCGGCCGAAAAACCGAAAGGTAAAACGGACCAGCAGAGGCAGACCCCGAGGAGCCTGTGGAAGGTGGCCCCAAGCCCCAAGGGCAGTACTTACAGGGCACCTAGGGAAGGCAGCCCTAGGCGCATGCAGCCCGAGTACTGAAGATAACTCCTGGCTCTCGCACCCACAAAACTAACACCACACTCAAAGCACAGTGCAGTAGCGACACTGGAGCCAGAGCACACAACCATCGCCTATAGCATCAGCCTCAAGAACTGAGGTGTGGGTAGCCGGCGCGGGGGGTCTGGGGCTCCCCCTTCCCCCTCCCGGGGAGGGGGGAGCTGCGCAGACAGCGGCGCGGCAGTGTGTGGCGTCACACTAGTTTGCTTGTTTTCGGTTGGGGAGTTCTATCCACTAGTTCGGTTTTAGGTAGCAATTTTAACCAGAATAGGGGTTTGTTTTGGGGCGCTTACCTTTCTGGGTGCCTGTTCCGGTCGATGGCAGACATAGAATGCTTCCAACTACACGGGGGCTTCTATAGGCCATTGCTCCCCTTGCCTCTCTGAGGGGGCCTGGTTCTGGCCGTGGTCCCCGGTAGGCCTAAGAACTCCATACACATGACTGATGCCAAAGTCTGACATTAGCATATCAGCCTGGGATAGCTCCGGGGAGCCGACGGGGCTCCCCCCTGAAATCCAACAAAAAACTGTAAATTCTTGGGAAGAAGTCAGGTGGGATAGTCACTGGGCGTGAGGCACTGGTAAACTGAGGCGCGATCGTCGTGCCACCACGTGCTAGGTCGGCCGTACGCGTATCAACAAACTCGTGTCCCGATGCAAAGTTAGTATCCCGATTCAAATATTCCAAATAAGTCGGGCTCATAACCCGAAATGTTCGTAACCCAAGGTACCACTGTACATACATTTATCTCTGCCCTATGTAACATGAATAATTTTATATAATAATAATGTCAACACTTATATTTAATCTTTCAAAAATCTGAAAAGTGCATGCTATAGAGCACTACCTGGAATTTCTCTGAAGCTTGACCCTGCGACATCCCTTCCTCTTTACATGCTGAAACAGCCTGCTGGAGCGACACCTCTGAGGTGCGTCGTGGTCGGATAATCCTATTGATGCATGATGCTGGCATCTTCCCATCACGTACTAACTGTTCTTTCAAACGGAATAATGTTGTTTTGGGGATCTGAAAAGAACAATATAAATAAATTATTTTAAAAAAATAATAGACCACTTGTACCATAGAGTAAGATTTAACTTTTCTTTTTAAATAATAAAACAAATGCATTACAGTTTTGATATACAAAAACCAGCGTTGAATGTAATGAAATGCCATTTTCAGAGTAGAGCCCCAGAGGTTCCCTGGAGCTATTGGACTGATATTAGCTAATATTAGTATGAGCTTCAGTCTTATGGAGTTGTCATGCCTACAGGGGACTACTAGCCAGAACGTTGTTCCCTCGGAGAGGCACAGAGAGCAATGGCCTTTGAAACTCTTATATATAAACGTATTCATTGTATGCCATCAACCGGGGATGAGCACCCAGAACTGTAGGCGTAAAACAGACCCCTCCTGGTAGAAATATTGCAACCTAAGACCGAATAGAGGCTAGAAACATCCCCGAAAGGGAGCCTCCGGGGCTCTACCCAGAAAATGGTGTTTCATTATATTCAACGCTGGTTTTCCATGGGGGAGCCCCGTTGGCTCCCTGGACCTAACTACCCAGAGAGAAATAATAGAGGGACTTACCCAGAAGGTGCCTGCACGGCTCCTGTGGGGAGCCGGTCGGCCGAGCGGACAGCACGCTGGTCTTGTGATCCTGTGGTCCTGGGTTCGATCCCAGGTGCCAGTGAGAAACAATGGGCAGAGTTTCTTTCACCCTATGCCCCTGTTACCTAGCAGTAAAATAGGTACCTGGGTGTTAGTCAGCTGTCACGGGCTGCTTCCTGGGGGTGGAGGCCTGGTCGAGGACCGGGCCGTGGGGACACTAAAGCCCCGAAATCATCTCAAGATAACCTCTCAAGATAACCACACAACCCATCATGAAGATGAGACAACTGGCTGCAACTGCTGATCCAAAGCGACACAAGACCGCTGAGGGTCTGGCACATTAACGAGATAACAGGCAGCCAGAATCCTGTTAGATCTCAAAACCCCCGCACCCGAATATCCACCCAAGACATATTGCCAAACACAGCAGCCAACGCTGTGAATTTACGAACATCATGGGCGCAAGGATAGACCATAGGCTGGCTAGACTTGATAATCCTGCAGATGACCTGAGAGATTCGAGCCCTGGAACAGGGAACAAGAGAAACTGGGTCAACCCAAAGCGCGTCCCCAGACACAGAAGCCGAGGTACGCAGGTAATGGCATAAAGCCGCAACCAAACACAAAACCTGATGCACCCCCGGCCTGACCAACCAAGCATCAATAACCCATAGACCCCACCAGAAGTCCACCGTCTCGTTCTTCGCTAAAAAAGGAGGAGACGGCTGCAGGCGAACAAAATGTCCACCCAGACCAAAAGAGCAAAAGCCCCTGTGCCAGAGGAGAGCATGAAGCTCCCCAACTCGACCCCCCAGAAGCCAAAGCTAACAAGAACAAAGTTTTCTGAAAACAATCTAGGACCGAAGGGCCACCACAAGTTGAGGAGAAGAAAGAAAGGAGAGCACACGGTCTAAAGACCAGGATAGCTCAGGTGGCGCATGAGCAGGCTGCAGGTGGAAAAAGGCACGAGAAAGCTTGCGAAATAGAGCCAAAGTGACATCCACCCCGAATGCAAGCAGGAGCGGCTCCACCAGCGCCGCACGATATGAGGCGATAGTATTCGGCATAAGATGCTTGTCCTGAAAGAGCTAAGAAAGAAAAGACACCACAACACGATCCAAAATTGAAGACAACCTACACAGGGAAATGGCGAAAAGGCCGCCAAGAGACTTCATACTGTCGCTGAGAAAACCGCAGGCGGGACACCATGAGAGAAGCCATCTGGTCACCATAAAGATGGTGATACACCCTCGCCAGAAACTCCAGACACAAAACGCGGAAGAGTAGAGCAAACCAGCAAGGTACCTCACTGGCCCAATCTGCTGAAAGAGGCCGAGCTGTGGAAAACACACCAGGTTTGGAGACCGAACAAGCAGCGCCTGAAACCAAGGCTGGGCTGTCCACCATGGAGCCAAAAGGGGAACCCTTACCCGGTAGAACTCGAGCTGAGCGAGAACCCGAAGCAATAGCTGAACCGGGGAAAAAAGGTACAGATAACCCCACCGCGACCAGTCTTGCCAAAAAGCGTCTACCACAAAGACCTCACAGTCGGGAAAGGGTGCCATACACTGGGAGATGCCTCGACCCCGCTGACGCAAAGAGGTCCACCTCCGGGGGCACGAATGTCCGGCATAGCCAACTGAAGGAGGCTGCGTCGACCGTCCATTCCATGGACAGGGAAATGAACCTCGACAGGCCATCTGCCAGGACGTTGGACATACCCTGGATATGAACAGCACGGAGAGCTAAACCCCGTGAACTTGGCAGAAGAGCCACTAAAGTGACCAGCCCCAAAGAGCCACGGACCGCAGAGACCCCCCCACCCCCGCAGTTCAGGAAATGAACCACCTGTGTGCAGTCTTGAATGAAGCCAGATCATAGAACCCCGAGTGAGCTGAATCCAATACAGTGCCAGCGACACTGCCTCAAATTCCTGCAATGTACTGTGAGCCCGATGGAAGGATGGAGCCCACCGCCCCTGGCTGGCCTAGTGAGCACTGGTCAGAAAACCCCAGCTGAGAGAAGAGGCATCCGTGAACATATCGAGGTAGGATTCCGAAAGGCGCCAAGGTATCAAACCCCGAAAATGAAACCAGTGACGCAGCAGCCGACACATTGCCCCTGGGGAACGAACCCAGCTATTGCGTGCACGGCCCCGATGGAACCAGAACAGACGCCGCAACCAAACCCGACCCAGCGGGAAAACGAGCATTGCAAAGTTCAAACTACCACACAGCTGCTCGAGACACTGCCGAGTAACCCGGGACCCCCCTCAGGAACAGACGACTGCAATACTACAGCAGGAGAGAGAGACAAGGACACTGTCCAGGAATCTTAGACCAGTCCCAGCCAAGTCCAAACTAGAGACGGAACCAGATGGGATTTCCACCAGTTCACCAGGTATTGAACCCAGCAAGCTGGGAAAGAACGAAACCCCTGGCGAGCAGACACACAGCCCGGCTGGGAGCCCAAACTACCCAGGCATCAAGGTAGGCCAAAACCTTTATAAGATGCAGATGGGCCACCATGACCCGGGTAAGACGCGTAAAAATGCGAGGCACCAGATTCAGCCTGGAGGGACTGCAATGAAAGCAATAAGCCTGCCGCCCAACCACGAAACCTAACCAGTCCCTGAACCCCGGATGAATAGGGACGTGCCAACACACGTCCTGGAGGTCCAAAGACACCACCCAAGAACCCCACTCCAAAAGCCAGCCACACCTGAGACAGAGTAGTTATCCAAAAGGAGGAGGCAAGGTATCCAGGCAGTTCAGACGGGACAGGTCCAGAATGAACCTTAGATCTGCACAGTCCTGTTTCAGCACTGGAAACATGCTGGAAACCCACCTGATGGACGAGGTCGTTTCGATCACACCCAAGCGCACCCACTCCAGGATGACCCGACGAAGCGAAGGGAAAGAAACCAGCCCCACCAGCCCCGAACTCCCCAGGGGGGGAGGACCGACCCAACGCCACCGCAGGCCAGAAGACACAACCTGAAACGCCCACAAATCGTGGGACCAAGTGCAGGCAAACAGAGCCAGTCACACCCCCTCTCCCCCAAACATCCCATCAAGAGGGCGACCGGGCATCCCTGACACCACCTACCCTTTAACCGGTTGGGGGTGTTTGTGGTGTCGGCATGAATGAGCGGCATGTGGTGTGGTGACATGTTGCTTGTTAGCTTGTTTTTCTTTGGGAGAGTTTCTAGCCTGTGTTCAGTCTTAGATTGCAATATTTCTACCAGAAGGGGTCTGTTTTGAAGTGCCTACTTTTCTGAATGCTCAATCCCAGTCGATGGAAGACATGAATACTTTTATACATATGAGTGTCATAGGCCTTTACACCTTGTGCCTCTCTGAGGCACGCTCCTGGAAGGCATGACAACTCCATAAGACTGAAGCCCAGTACTAATATTAGTTAATATTAGTTAATATTAGTTCAATAGCTCCAGGGAGCTGACAGGGCTCCTCCGCCCCCCCCCCCACAAAAAAAAGTTAGTGACTATCAGAAAAACTAAACTAAATTTTGCATAAAATTTCAGCAATAATGATAATTCCCATTGTCAGGAATAGAAAGCCTGTGTATATACTGTATATATACTTTAGGCTTATATCGAGGTCCTCCCCAAGGTGGAACTACTGACCCTCCCCAGGATGCAACCCTACAACAGTTGACTAACACCCAGGCACCTATTTACATCTAGGTGAACAGAGTTGGTGAAAAGAAATGTGCCCAACCATTGTTATCCCGCTTGGGAATCAAGCCCGGGATCCCAGATTATGAGTCGAGAACAAAGTCATTGAGATGGGTTATTATAATCTATAAAAATTACCAACTATCTACATCACAATAGAATACTGTATATAAAACATTTGTCTTATGTTTTACAGAAAATAAAAAATAAAAATAAATGACATGAATAGCAAATGTTACTTTGCCTCTCGAAAAAACCAGCGTTGAATGTAACGAAACGCCATCTTCTGGATGAGGCCCGGAGGCTCCTTGGAGTTTATCAGGCTAATGTATGTTATATTAGACCGGGACATTAGCTATAGAGTTCAGACATACCAGGAACCAGTGCCAGAACCTGGCCCCTTCAGAGAGGTTGCAGGGAGCAATGGCCCTGGAAAACTCCCCCATGGTTGGGGGGGTTTTCCTTATCTGCCATCAACCGGAGTTAGGCACCCAGAAAGGTAGGCATAACAAAGCAAACCCCGCATGGTAAGAAACTAACAACAAAAACTAAACAGAGAGGTAGAACTCCCTACAATCCCTAGGAAACAAGCAAACATGACACTTTACTGTTGCGCTGCTCGTCCATGCAGCCCCTCCTCTTCCCGAGATGGGGAGGGGAGGGGGGGGCCTGGACCTCACCGTACCGGCTGCATAGCACTCCAGTTCGGAAGCTAAGC